ACCAATGGGGATACCATATTTGCCAACATTTACGGACCATATGAGGTTAATGATAAAAAAAACTATGGAGAGAACTATTAGAGATCAAAAGATCAATTGCAGGCAACTAGATTCTATTTGGTGACTTTAACACAGTTAGAAGGCCAGATGAGAGATTCAATTCCATCTTCTGTCAAGAAAGTGCATCCGCATTCAATAGAATCATCCTAGAGGCAGAACTTCATGATTTCAACATGGGTGGTGAACGGTACACCCTTCGTGTCTAGAGTTGGTGCCAAATTGTGTAAACTAGACAAGTTTCTTGCTTGTTCTAATTTCCTCACAGCTTTTTCCTTCACTTGTGGTTATGGCACATCCCTGTGAACTCTATGACCATAAGTCGGTTACACTCTCCTCTCGAGCAACTGACTAGGGCCCACCTCCATTCAAACTATTCAACTCTTGGCTACTAAAAGCATGATTCGACAGCATCTTTAAGGAAGCTTGGGAAAGGTTCGTTGGATATGACAATCCTGATGCCTATCTGGCTGCAAAACTCAAAAACCTTAAAGAGGAGATAAAAAAATGGAAAAGGAAGAATGTCAATATAGAAAGTCTTGAGATAGCACAAATAAAGGCAAATATCTCTCAACTTGAAAATTGGAAGAATCAAGATTACTCACAGATGTAGAACGCGGTTCACGAAATGAAGGTCTTAGGAAAATCCTTGAATTAGAAAAACTCGCGGTGTTAGATTTAAAACAAAGAGCAAGGGTAAAATGGATTGTGGAGGGCGATGAGAACAAGAAATTCTTTCATGGTTACATCAACAACAAACACTAGAGAAGCACAATACATGGGTTAATGGTGAATGATGAATGGTAAATGGGTGTCATCGGCTGAAGAAGTAAAAAGTGAAGCACTTAGATTTTTTAAGAACAAATTCACTGAAACTTTGGTGTCTAGACTAAAACTCATCAGCTCTTACATCAAATCCATTTCGATGATGGAAGCTATAACACTTGAAGCCCCCTTCACACATGAAGAAGTAAAAACTATGGTGTGGGAATGTGGAAGTGACAAGGCCCCTAGCCTATACAATTTTACTTTTAAATTCATCAAGACCTACTGGGATATCATCAAAACTGATGTGATGAACTTCATCCTTCACTTCGACAAATTCGGTACCTTAGCACAGGGATATAATTCATCTTTCATCACCATTGTGCCTAAGGTAAAAGACCCCTCTTCACTGTCCGATTATCGACATATCAACCTAATCGAATGCATGTACAAGATCATTTCAAAGGTGCTTGCATTAAGACTGAAAACATTTATTGGTGGAGTCATTGCAGATGTCCAATCAACTTAAATAGAAGGCAGGAGCACTCTAGATTAACCATTAGTGATAAATGAACTCTACTCGTGGGCGAAGAAGATAAACAAGAGGATCCTACTATTCAAAGTAGACTTTGATAAAGCATTTGACTCAATAAATTGAGAATATCTTGATTCCATACTCACACAGATGGGCTTTGGCGGGAAATGGCGTCTTTGGATCAGGGGTTCTCTGAACTCCTCTCACGCCTCTGTCATTGTAAACAGATCTCTAACGGATGAATTCAAAATTTCCAAAGGTGTGCGTCAAGGTGACCCGCTCTCATCATTTCTTTTCATTATAGCCATGGAAAGTCTCAATGCAGCAATAGAGGCTGCCAAAAACAAAGGATTATTCAAAGGAGTTCAAATCCCAAATGGTGACCCTATTCTTTCACATTTTTTCTATGCAGACGACGCTTTATTTGTAGGTGAATGGTCAATATTCAATCTAAAAAATCTAGCACGGATTCTTAGATGCTTTCACGTATCATCCGGTTTGAAAGTAAGCTTTCACAAATCTAGAGTGTTAGGAATTGGGGCAACGGAAGAAGAAATTACAAATTGGGCTAATATTTTAGGATGTGAAGCAGGATCTTTTCCCTTCAAATATCTCGGTGTTCCTGTTGGCGTGAACATGAATCTTATAAAAAACTAAAAACCAATAATCGACAAGTTTCAATCCAAACTATCATCATGGAAATTAAAATCCCTCTCCTTTGGTGGCCGACTAACATTGATCACCTCAATTCTAGACAATCTTCCTACTTACTACTTCTCATTATTTACAGCAACAGTGGCGGTCACTGAGACTCTGAAACAACTTAGACGCAGATTCCTTTGGGGCGGAGATGAAGACAAATGGAAAATACATTAGGTGGCATGGGATAAAGTAATAGCTTGGAAATCTGATGGTGGGCTTAGCGTAGGATCAATACGCGCGCTGAATGTCAGCCTAATAGTCAAATGGTGGTGGCTTATAAAAAAAAGGGGGACTCAATATGGGGGCGAACAATAAAAGGTATACACATCTTATACAATAAACCTCACAATTATTTTTCTATCAGGTACAATAATGGCGTCTAGCATAACATTGCAACCATAAAGAAGGATCTCAAGAGGCGTGACCTGGAAATAGGGGATGTGTTCGAACTACAAATCAAATCTAGTGATAACACCCAGTTTCGGTATGACAAATGAACCGATGGAGACCAATTGGAGAACAAATACCCCGACCTCTTCAACCTGGAGACAAGGAAAAGATGCAAAGTGGTGGACATAATCATTGATGGATGTTTTGTAGGTCATTGGAATTCTTGTCCTGTTGAATCTAGACTATTCGAGGATTTGGACAACCTAACGAATGAATTGTTCACGGTAAAATTGGCGAGTGGGTGTGATCAATGGAAAAATAAACTTGATGTAAATGGTCGCTATACGGTTGGGGCACTACGGAGGTTAATCGATAAAAAATTAGTCCTAGTCAGATACTACCACCTATGCTATGGCACAGGGATGCACCAATAAAGGTGAACTTCTTTATTTGGAGAGCACTACACAATAAAATCCCTTCTATGATGGCTCTAAGATTACGGGGAATGGTGCTCGACTCTACATGCTGTGGTGCTTGCTTTGCTGGTGATGAATGTGCCGATCACATTCTAGTAACATGCTCGTATGCGAGTGCAATAAGAGACAAAATATTTGATTGGTGTTGTATAGAGCACTAAACATTTAACAATGTCAGGGATCTAATATGTTTTGCTACAAGCTAGGGTCGGTGTTCACAAAAAAAAAAAAAAAGGCTCACGATGATATGCTATGGGCTTATATGGAGCCTCTAGAAATATAGAAATGACCGAACTTTTAATTTGAAATTCATCAGTGCTTTTTGCGGAGCTGAGCAGATAAAATCCTTGGTGTATCTCTGGAATGAAATGCAGAGGAAAAGGTGATTTAAGTGAATGGAACGTGTGGTCATCATCTCCTTTCCATTTTTCCTAGTTTGCCTATGTATTTTTCTTTACTTACAACTACTATATGTATGTCTTTTTTCTTTTTCTGTTCCTACTCCACTCTAGTATCTTAGGTAGTGTTTTTTTTTTTTGTCTGCAAATCTACGTGGTCTCTTCTATCTGCGCCGCGCAGACATTAGCCTTCACAGATTTTTTTTTTTTTTTTTTTTGAAGACTGTAGACCTAAAAATGACTGCGCGCCCTCTTCTTGGCACAGATGTGGACCAGAGTCTTCTAACATATTCAGACATCTTTTAGCCTAAAAAATCATATATATCTTTATTTTTTAAAGTTTTTTTTTTCAATATAGAAATGACCGGACTTTTAATTTGAAATTCATCAGTGCTTTTTGCGGAGCTGAGCAGATAAAATCCTTGGTGTATCTCTGGAATGAAATGCAGAGGAAAAGGTGATTTAAGTGAATGGAACGTGTGGTCATCATCTCCTTTCCATTTTTCCTAGTTTGCCTATGTATTTTTCTTTACTTACAACTACTATATGTATGTCTTTTTTCTTTTTCTGTTCCTACTCCACTCTAGTATCTTAGGTAGTGTTTTTTTTTTGTCTGCAAATCTACGTGGTCTCTTCTATCTGCGCCGCGCAGACATTAGCCTTCACAGATTTTTTTTTTTTTTTTTTTGAAGACTGTAGACCTAAAAATATCTGCGCGCCCTCTTCTTGGCACAGATGTGGACCAGAGTCTTCTAACATATTCAGACATCTTTTAGCCTAAAAAATCATATATATCTTTATTTTTTAAAGTTTTTTTTTTTTCAATTTATAATTTTTCTAACTTTATTAATGATAAACAATTAGAAAATAAAATTACAAAACTTTAAAAAAACGTTCGACGATACAAACGTGATATATTTGACAAATTTATAAATAAAATTTTATTACAATAATAGCCGTTGAAGTTGTTAGTATAAATATGAAAAAAAAAAATCATAATATATTATTTTATTTTTTGCCAAATTTTATAAAACATTATTTAATATAGTATCATCAATTTATTGAGAAAATATTTGTGTTATGTTTTTAATGAATTTAATTGAAAAAATCAAAGTTTATTTCTATCTATTTATGTATCAAATTTTTTGATCACTAATTACAATGTTTAGTTATAACTTTGCAACCAAAGTTTTTGGTTTTTATCAAATATATATGTTAATTCATACCATTTTAATTTTTATTTTTTATACAATAATATATAAAAGTTTATATAGATTCGTTAATTATTCATAACAAAGATATAAAAATATTAAAAAATCACTTTGAAGTTTAAAAAAATCAGTTTATTAAATATTTCAGTTTATTTTAGTAACCCGCAGATGTTAAAAAAACAAACAGTTGTCTTTTTTTAGATTGCAGACGTTTGGTTCACCTCTTCTACTACAGATGTTGTCCGCAGACTGTATACATTTTACCTCAGAAAAAACAAACAACACCTTACTAGTCACCTTCCTAGTCGGGGTTCATTTTAATAGAAGTTCGACTACGAGGCTTTTTTATATATAAAAACTAATCAACCGTATGTCCCTTTTAATTAATGATTTGTCTTTTAAAAACATTTAGGTTTTATCATATGAAAATTTTCAAAATAGCAAAATATTAATAAAAAAATACATTTCACATAAATGTACCTGGAATATCATATGCAGGCCGAGGTTCACTATTGTGACCGTTACAGACGATCACCGCGTCAAACACCTCCACTGTATTCATCCCATTTGTCTTCGACTCCACTTCAAACTCGATGATCTCCGAGTCAACCAATTCCACTCGGGTCACCACAGTATTGAAACGAATCAACTCAGTGAGTTCAAAAGAACCTGCAAAATCTTCCAAGAACTTCAGAACTTCTTCGTGCCCAGGAAACAACCTCTCATCGCCATATGTTTTGTCGCTGAATTTGAAATCAGTGAAACTCATGAGCTGACGAGGAAGATTCGTTCGCAAGGATTTGTAAAGGGATCCATGAATGATCTCTCTATTTTGGTCAAGTCCTAAGAGATCAGATTCAACTCGTGGATCATAGGCCCATGTTCCGCCGAGTCGGTGTGACTTTTCAAACACCACAATTTGGTGGGACTCTCTTTGAAGCTCACGGGCGGCGCTTAATCCGGCAACACCGGCACCAACAACGGCGACCTTTAAGGAAGTTGCCATGGCAGATGAATCTCCTTCTTCTTTGCATCTAAGAGCGGCCAGGTAGGTATATACAAAGTTTTTTTGGTCAACTATTAACCGCGGATTTTATTATTCCTAAGGAAACAAGTTCAAATAAATTAATGCATGTGAATTATTCGGTTCTCCAAGCACGTGTTGACACAAAAGCAGTTTTGGCACCATTAAAATCTTTAATAGAATAATAGTTATTGCAAGTTTTTCAAGTTATGAGAGACATTAATTAAGGTTTTTAATTGCTCAAAGAATAATATTCAAATTTAGCCGTTAGGCTTGTGTCGAGACTGCCGATGTCCACATAGCAGAATGGGGGGATTTAGCTCGGAGGAAGAAGAAGAGTGGGAAGAAGAGGAGGGGCGGTCTGTCGAGATAGGGAGAAGGAAGGAGGAAGAGGTGAGGAAGAAGAAAGAGATTCCACAGAACTTCACCGAGTTGCCGAACCCAACTCGCTATGCCGAGGGGTTAGCCCGGTGTTCGCCGAGGTTGCCGAAGCTGAGGCCACTCTGCCCGACCTTAGAGAAAATACAGGGAAATTGCGTAAACTAACATTTATAAATCTCTTTTTATTTATTTATTTGCTTTTAATTTTATAAGCAACTATTTTTTTTTTAGTATTTAAAAAAATGACCATTTTCTCCTAAACGTCTCATTCGGACTACTATTTACATTCCCGATAACTTTTCAATTTTTTTTCAAAGAATGCTTCATTTCATTTTGGGTTTGATCTCCAAACTCTCTCTCTCTCTCTATATATATATATATATATATATATATATTACCAATTTTTTTTTGTCCAAAGTGTTCATTTCTAAGTATTAATATCAACGGTTTTCAATAAAATATTTGATTTTATGCACTAATATAGTACATGTAGTTCACATTTAACATATTTGTTTTACTTTTTGTAAATATGAAGTAAAAACAATTTTTTACTCAAAATTTCCGAATATTTTTTAGGATTTCGGACCTATTCTTGAAATTTATCGGACCAGTTCTTGAAATTTTATAGTTCCTTTTTTTCCGAAATCCAAAATTTTAGTTTGGAATCCAAAATGTTAGTTTGAAATCTGGAATAACATTTCGGAGTTAATCACAAAAATGTTTTTTCTTGGTTTGGAATGCCCCTTTCAGACAACGTGGTCATTTTTGCAAAAAATATAAAAAAAATAAATAAAAATACTTTGGTCTTTTTTTTTAATCAAATATACATTAAAAAGTGGTTAGATTACTCGATTTCCCGAAAATATAAAATGATCTATGACTTTTGTATATAAAGTACAATTTAAGTATACGTTTCGTTCAAATGACATCTTATGTAACCACCTAATTGGATTAATATTATCCGATTTGTAAAATATTTTAGGAAGATAACTAAGTTTCAAATTTGTTCAAAAAACATCATTCAAGTTTGATCGTACAAAAATACAAGTGAAGTAAGGCATTCATACATATAATACCATCAAAGTACATGTTTTGTTTAAATAACACATTCTAGTAATTGGTTTCTTAATTGACATATTTAATGCTTAGTTGGCATATTAATTAACATCTACGGGATTCTTAGCATATAACCCATTAAATGAAACCAATTATGCATATAATTCTCATGAATGATTTCCATCAGCCGAGTAAAATCAAATTGCCAAGTTACAACTACCCTTAGGGTGAAGAAAGTACAACAATGTCTTATGGTGACGTACCCTTCGTATAATGTTGTCTTTTTTACTTTTAGACCTCCACTCCATTGCTACCATTCAATAGGGTTTGACTTTATAACTTCCTTTTTCTCAAGCTGAGTATGTAAGCGAAACATTAGCTTACTCATTCGTAGACTTTTCTGGAATCACCATTTCCTTTTAGCATTTATCAACTAGGTCTTGCCATTATCTGTTAACTAAGTAGGGTCTAAGCACCACCCCCTTGTGAATCTGTATATTTGAGGAGTATGTTGCAACAAAATGATTATAATGTAACACCATGTTTCAAATCGTTTCCTAATTCACGACCGTGACCCGAACATCGGTTATCATAAGGATATGGGCCTTGGGGAAGGACAGATTCTGACCACTTGGATGTGGATAACATAAATTAGGTGATCCGAGAGTTCGGTTTGTGTTTTGGAGCCCAAGGGAATATCCGTAAAGTGATAGTTCGGGCCTTTAATGAATTTTGAATTTAAGCTCGGAAAGCTTTCAGCAAAGGAGTGTTGATAGAATTGTAGAGCTTCTCATTAGCTTTCCGTGGATATAAAGAACGTTGAAATCGGACATAGAACGAATAAGTTACGGCCTTCAGAAGATTAGTGGTTTTGGTCCCTAGCCGAGTACATTGGGCGTACTTGCTCGATGCTTTGGTTGCCGAGTTGCCCACGTATGCATGGTGTATGTGGGAGTACGTGGGGCATACGCTCGGCTAGGGTAAACCTTAATCTTTAGGATCTTTAGGGTTTGTACCCTATTTAAACAACTTAAGTTGCTTTAGGAGTTTCTTAAGACTAGCCTCCACCTCTCCAAACCCTAAGAACGAAAAGATTGCCTTCCTTTGAGTGTTTGTGAGCCATTTTTGTAACTTTATGGTGTTTTTGGATCCTTTGAAGGAGGTGAAGCATGGTGGTAAATCTTTGGAGGACTTGATGCGTTATCTTGGACCATACATGAGTTAGGGTTAGTATTATGATTCTTTTGAGTATTGGGTCCCATTAAATCATTAAAGGGTGTAAAGTTACTAACTTTACATGTTAAGACATCATTTAGGATCAGATCAGAGAATTCGGATTGGTGGCTTAACCGATTAAGCACTTAATGAAGAGTTGGGTTGACTGTGAGTATGCAGGGTGTACCTAACTCGTACGCTGTGCATACTGGCCCTGGAGGGAGTACATTGGACGTAAGTTTGAGTACACCGGGCGTACTCAACAACCTTGACTTTTGTTGACTTTTGCAATTTATGCTATATTTGGAATATTAGGGTTTTCGGCCTTGTTGGGCCAATGGTCTTTCTGACTTTGGGTTATTATTAGGATTTGGGCCTTTTTGGATTTGGGCCCATAATGGGTTATACGCCTCATTTTGGAATTTGGGCCATATTAGGCTTTTGGAGCAATTAGGTTGGGCCTTAGTTTTGGGCCAAGTAAAGAAAAGGTAAAATGTTCTTTCACCCTGGGTAGTGGACAAAGTGGACTGGATTCCTTGTTATGGTTTATGGTCAGATTATTAATTGGGGTTTTATTTGACTGATTAGCATAGGGATTATCCTAGTCAGCAATCCGAGTGTTTATCTGATTTTTAGCAGTTTGAGGTGAGTTTTGTCACTATATCCATCGGTTGAAGGCACCGATGCCGACCCATTACTTGTTATGTGTAATGCTAGTTGTCTCTATGATGCTTGCATGAAAGACTAGAATCTGGCCCCTGACAATTGAATGAAAGACGAAGATCTGGCCCATGATAGTTTTATGAAAGACCAGGATCTGACCCCTGACAATTGTACGAAATACTAGGATTTGGCCCTTGTCACTTGTATGTAAGACCGGGATTTAGACCTCAGCATTGCAAGGAAAGACTATGGGGGTAGCCCATGACACTTTTATGTTTTGTATGTGGTATTTTGGAGAACTCACTAAGCTTTGTGCTTATGGTTTTATGGTTATGGTGTCAGGTACTTCCAGTTTGAAAGGGAAGTACTGACTTGATCACAGTGCATCGACTCATGATTCCAAAACATTACGATTTTGGGATTATAATATGATAAATGTTTATTATGATATACTTTGGAATGTTTCGAAAAAGATAATTGGTGTTTTGGTTAAACTAAAAATGAATTTTTTACCTTCTAATATTTGGGATGTTAAAAGTTGGTAGCAGAGCTTTGGTTTGAGGGATTCAGGCATACTCTTGGATATGTCTGAACTCAAACTGAGCATTTGTTCGATTTTTCATAAAATAAAAGTTTTATTTCAGGATTTTCTAATAGTAGAAAGGATTGTGGTGCTTTCAATCAGCTGAGCTCAAGTAAGTAATTCGTAGAATACACATACATGTTTGTTATGATTTTATGTTATGAGAATTGCATGCTGGATTAGGGCTAAGGATTTGATCTGGATTTCATGCTAGGATAGATGGCCTTATATTCCCGATTGTTTGAGCTTATGGAATTGCATGATAGAATGGATTTTCATATGGTTGGATGGATTGGCCTGATATGTGAAGCCTCGTAGCCTAGGAGGATCGGATGTTATGATAGATATGGAAATATGTATTGGTAGATGTAATTGCTAAGTTTATGCTTTAAAAATTGTATACAGTTAGGATCATATAGCCCTAGAATGATTGATTTGGCCTTATTTCCTGTTCCTCGTTTGGTTGTGGTCCTAGGGTAGATTCTTTTATTCGATAGTCTATTTGATCTCGTATTATGTATAATTTTCATGCATAAGGAAATCGGTAATGAGAGTGGAAGTTCCTAGCATGGGTTATAGTAGGTGAGCCTTGGAGGTTCTTTGTTTGTTATATGGCTTGGAGTGGTGTTTCACAAATGTTGCTTTCTTTGTGCTTTGTGGGACTCTTGATGATGTGAGTTAACTATTAAGTGAATATGTAAGTCACATGTTGCATAGATTAAATAATCTTAGAGTGACAAATTTGACCGTATTGTGCAGCTCTTGGTTGAGTCTAACCATTGTGGGGATGAGTCTTTAACTCGAAGGATTATCTAAGCTTTGTTGCATGTGACTATATTCATGAAGTAGTTAACTGACATTATTGGGGGTTCTTTAGTAGCTAATGGCCGGGTGAGGTCGGGAACCTAGGAGATCCTAGGATGTGCTGTAGTTAGTTGGTTGTGTTGTTTAGCAGATATTTGGAGTATGTGTTTGAGAATGTGACTTGGAGGATTTGGAATAGTTCTTGAGGAAAGTATGGATATGTGTGGAAGGTAGTATTCGGCCTGTACTACTGAAAGCCCAGGATCCATACTCGAATCGA